GGGTGTGTGTGTGTGTGTGTGTGTGTGTCCCCACTCTGGAGGGGCAGGGTGTGTGTGTGTGTCCCCACTCATAAAACCCAACCCAGCCCAATCCACTACCATCAGATTTATTTCAACTCATAGCGACCCTGTGATGGTGAATTTGCCGGGGAAGAACTGTAACTAGAGTCGTTGCAGCACATTCATGGGGGTGGAGAGGATTAGGTCAGACCCTTTTCGGGATATTCACAAACCCCCTAAAAAAGGAAAAAGAGAGAATGTCACAAGTGTTCTACACAAGTAGGCGGCCTTCTGACCATGTCTTTGTCTTTTCCTGTGGGTCTTTATTCATTTCAACAAGCTCGCATTTTAGGAAAACTCACACATACTCGCATAATCTCAAACTCATTGCAGTGGAATTGATTAGCTCATAGCTGACCCTCCAGCGGGCTTTTCCAAGAGCACAGGAGGAGATTGTCCGTCTTTATCCTTAAAGCCCTTGGTGAATTCAAACCACCAGTGAAGTGTGGCCTTTGGGTTAACAGTTTATGTGTATATTATATATACACATTATTATCAGGAAGAGATTTTTCCTGGGTTTTGTACAGTCTTCCATATATATTATGTTTCATTCATGTACATTTTAATTTTGTTTTATTTTATTTCCCTTGTTGTGTCATATCAGATCCGACTGGCACAGGAGATTTCCTGTCCTCCAGTAGAGCATCTTGTGGATTCGAACTGTGCACCTTCGGGATTGCAGCATAGCTTCTTGCCACTAGGCTGCCAGAGCTCCCTGTATATTTGTTTTATACAGTCATTTATGTGCATTATATACATTGTGTTTTATAAAATTACTATTCATGGATGCCCTTCAGTGCCCACTGTCAGGCCCAGACCAAGGTCAAGGAGGAAAATGAAAGATTCTAAGAATATCAACATGACAACAAAAGGAGTGAATAGCCTCTCCCACTCGCCTGCCCGACCCTTACTATAAAAACCTGCCCAACCCACCTTAGGGCCCTGGTCTCTCTCTAGGCCAAAAAAATCCCACCTGGGAGCCTCCTTAATAAAGCTGTGTTAGCTTCCTCTTTCTCTCTAGTCCCTTCCTTAAGTCCTTGGCCTTACATCCAGTGCGAAGACCTAACATGCACTGATCGCCCCATCTCAAGTCCCCACTGCACAGTGCCTGCTCCTTCACCCACCCACTCCCCATCTATCCATTAATCTCTGATGCCCTAGTAGTTCCCCTCTCCTCCGTTCTTCTGTCCCTCCCCTTCCCTTTCCCTTTTCTGTGACAATAGCCATATTGCCATTTTGTCAATTCTTGTCATGTTGATCGCCCCTTGTTCTGGTCCCTTACAGTGTTCACTGCCTGTATATTCTTTTCTGCTCTGGATGACATTTTTTATCAGTAAACGCTACAATAAAGTAAGCAAAGGATATTGCGAGAGCAGATGGGGGGTGCTATACCCTCTGTGGGACAGGAGGTCAAGGAAGGGGTCCCTAAGAGAGTGAAACTTGAGCTGAATTTGAAGAAAATGTTCATGAAAAGGAAGGTGGTGAAGGGGACTGGAGGAGGAAATGACTAGAGGAAAAGGCACATGTATTGATTGGTAGGAAGTTGTGAAAATGCACGGCCAGTTCAAAATAAAGCAACAGTTCAGATTTCCTACAAGACAAATCTTCCCAAGAGACTACCTCACCCTTCTCAGGAAGAGAGGTTAGTAGTAGGTTTAAGCTGCTGACCTTTTAGTCAGCAGCCCAACACTTAACCTACTATACCACCTGGACTCCCATATGGAGAAGAGATTGAACTTGTTAACAGTTTGCTTGGCTCTATGATCAACACTCTCGGCACCAGCAGTCAGGAAATCAAACGACGAATTGCATTAGGTAAATCTGCTGTCAGGCACCTCTCCAGAGTACTGAGAAGCAAAGATGTCAGTCTAGTGACAAAGGCCATATGATCCAGGTCATAGTCTTCACAATTGCTTGCTATGCTTCCGAGAGTTGGACAATGACTAAGATGACAGAAGAATCGATGCCTTTGAGTTGTGGTGCTGGAGAAGAGTCTTGAACATGCCATGGACTCCCAAGAAAAGAAATAGGTCTGTCTTGGAGAGAGTGAAGCCAAGTTTCTCCTTGGAGGCTGGGATTCTGAAGCTCCAGCTCACACAATTTGGGCATGTGGCCTGGAGAGACTTGTCCTTAGAGAAGGACATCATGTTCGGAAGGGTGGAGGGAAAGAGCAGGAGAGGAAGACCCTGGATGAGATGGATTGATATGGTAACTAGGGCAATAGGAGTAGGTGTATCAGAGTAAGTGAGATTGGCTTATGACAGGGCAGGCTTCAGAGCTCTTGTACATAGGTTGCTATGAGTCACAGGCTACTTGAAGGCATGTAACAACAACAATAACATAAAAGTTATTGTTAGGTCTTTGCATGGGGTGTTAGGCCAAGGACTCAAGGAAAGGACCAGAGAGAAAGCTTAATACAGCTTTATTAAGGGGGCTCCCAGGTGGGATTCCTTGGTCTGGAGAGAGAGAGAGAGAGACCAGGGGGAAACCTCACTCTGAGGTGGGTCCCGGCAGGTTTTTATAGTAAGGGTCTTCAGGGAGGGAAGGGAGAGGCATTCCATGATGGTTTGGTCAGATGGGGAAGGCTGTTCACGCCCTTTGTTGACATGTTGATATTCTTTGAATCCTTCATTCTCCCCCTTGACCTTGTGCTGGGTCTGACAGTTACATCCATATGAATCATAACCTTTCGTCATGGCCTTTGCATTGCCGACCTGGCTCCTGTGTATCTGGAGCTTCCAGGGGTGGGTGAGGAGAGAGGAGAACGGTTTTAACCCTGGATGAAGTTGGACTCATTGGAGAGCAGTGTGTCTCCCGCAGAGGCTGATGGGGTCATCACGTGCTGCCGTGCCTGCTGATTCACGGCGCCCTGATAGGTATCAGAACGAGCCTGTGCCATCCTCACAGTCCTGGCTGCGTTCGTGCCCCGTGTTGCCACCATTGTGCCTGTCCATCTCTCTTTTTTTAATACCTTTTTTTAAAAAAAATTTATTATTTTTTTATGTGTGTACCGTCAAATCAGATCTGACTGGTACAGGAGGAGATTGTCCCTCCTTCTCCAGCAAAGCATCTGGTGGATTCAAACTGCTCACCTCTTGGATTGCAGTGCAGCTTTTTGCCACTAGGCCACCAGAGCTCGCCAATTTTTTTTTTATTTTATTAAATTTTTTAATGCAATAGATATATATACATATATATACATATATACACATATATACATATATATACATATATATACATATATACATATATACATATATACATATATACATATTAATATATATATCTATAAAACAGCGTATTCTAATTTTCTCCCATTCATTCATTGTTGCACACTTTCTCCTCTGCCCTCGAGTTTGTTTTTCTCTTTGAAGAAAAAAAAATTCTTTCATTGTTATACAATACCCCCCTAGTCCACAGTCCACTTTACTATGCATTTCTTTTTCTGTAATCTTGTCATGAAAATAATACCTAATCCTATATTCCTTCTAAACAGTTCTCTCCTTCATCTTTTTCAATGAAGTATGTATTATTTATCCCCTCTTAGTTTCCTCCCAGCTCCAATGCCAGTCCCACTTTACAACTGTGGCACCATGCAGTATTTGTCCTTTTGTGACTGTGATATTTCACTCAGTGTAATGTCCTTGAGCACCCATATTGTATAGTATTTCATGATTTCTTCGTTTTTCAATGTAACATAGTATTCCATTGTGTGAATATACCACAGCTTCTCTATCCATTTGTTTGT